ACATCCGCTGGTAAATCCCAATCACTAATATCCGCTTCAAATGCTATAACTACATTTGGTGGATTACGTGGAAGCATTATGTAAACATAATCGTGAAAGGACATGCGAAAACTATATACCTCGAATTTTCTTTTTTTTCGGTTAGTACAGTCCCAACAAAGATCGATATTTACGTGTACGGGCTGCATTTCTAATCCTATCAGTACAACTTCTAAATGATGTACGTCCCAAAATAAAGTATGCAGCAAAATTTCCCAAGCTAGTATATATCGTGCATCTAAAACATTTGCGTGTATTATGTGAACAACATAGTGCGTATCACCTATATGAAAATTTCCATTCTTTATTCCATAATATAGAGTCAACGGGCCTGATAGGTAATCAGAATAGAATTTCTTTAAATGATCAAATTTCGAATTCACAAATTTTTCAATGAAATGTTGCATGTTAACAACATCATGTATATTGGAGGAGTTAACATTACCAAAATTAAAATAATGTGCTTTTGTATAGTATATATATTGGTCTATTTCGCGACATGACTTTAATTTAGCGCAATTTGAACTGTGATAATGTTTCAAAGCTCCTGCATGATTCGAACAATAGTTCACGCAATAACACTCCGTACAAGTTCGGAGATTACGCTGTTCATGACAAACAAAACACGATTTAGCAAGCATGATCATCTGCATTTCGTACGGCTTCATATCACGTTTGAACTGTGTTTTGACTAAATGTAAAAGCTCCTTCCTCGACTTAATCCAATCCTCTTGAGTGAAATTACGAGTTTGCCAGAATTTCGGGTGGCTATGTGAAAGTTTTCTTAATATTTTGCAGATCTTTTCATGGCTCACATTATCTATTTTTCCGTGCTCGGTGCAACAGTAAAAAACCATATTACACGAATAACATATACTGAAATCTTTATAATATGTTTGCGATTTTATCGGACCTTTCTTGCAAAAATGACAAATATTTGGATTGAAGAAATTGCGATAAGCCACAGTTTTTATATCGAAACTCCATGGTGAAAATAGCGCCGGTATATCATATCTACTGAATTTGCGATCTACTGAATTTGCTTGTTGACGAGACGACATTTTTTTGATGGCGATATGATAATATTTTATTCCATGTAATGGATATTTATATGGATATTTATAGAAATGCGTCCTATGTAATATTAATCTATAAGTAATATGCCGAACTCAGTACTTCTTTGCGGGAATAACACAATTCTGCTTTCACAGTTTACGGATACATTTAGCGACTGTCCGGAGAGCACCAAGGAGATATATATATATATTATATGTATTATTATATGTTTATTTATATTTTATCCATGTTTCAAGTATCACCGGACGGTATTCTCTTTGAAAATGCGACGCGAATAGAATTTCCCGTTTATTAAATATTATTACATCAATTTCCATTTATAATTTAATTATCACTTATTATAATTACTCATAAGAGTAATAAAATTATTTATTATTATTCGCCAATTTATTACATTTAGTAATAAATTTCAGTAAGGGAGAACTTTAAATAATCACTATGTTAACACAAATAATAACGATATATTGTAAGAATGTCACCTATCTGTAAAGTTTCAGACCAAATGGCAAATTGTATTTTTCGGAAGTACAAACTAAAATTCGAATGTTGCATCTATTTGATGTATTATTCGATATTTTACTGATACTTAACAGATTGAAATACATATTCTTATGCGGATTATTCATATAATGCTTCTGCCAGAAATTTGTAACAGCAAATTAATGCGTTCATTATTTTACAAAATGTAAAAGCTATGCACGGAAATAAATATATATACACGTATATATAAACCAACCAAATCGTACACCATTTCTTGCGTTATTTTTACAATAATATTATTATACTTACATTATAGTTATATATAATGATGTGGAAAGGCAAATTAATCAATTACACGTTTTATTTAACGTTTTATTAAACTTGTTCTATAAAGGGGAGTTAGAATTATTTACATTATTAGCATCTTTTCTCCGAAAATCATAATCGGCGTACAGCTTTTCAAAAATATTACCCACGATGTATAATTTTATATTTATTATGTTAATAACATGTTTCTTGAAAAATTCCGACTCGCAAAACTTGTACCAAGGACGCCATAATGTATTATAATTCACCGATTCGTTATATAAGTTTAATAAATCACTTAAACTCTCAAAGATAATTAGGAACTTATTACGATAAGACACGTCATCGTCCTTGAAATTCCTATATGCCTTAAGAGAATTAAATTTATTTTCGATTGGTGTTAAATCTAATGGTGTACGCAGAATTTTATTTAACGCCTGAATGTTCCTTTCGAATGTGGAGTACGATCCGTAGGTTACAAGGATTGGACATGATTGTCCCTTTAATTTCAAAATTATTTTCGTTTGTAAATTCCAATCACTAATATCTGCTTCAAATGCTATAATTACATTTGGTGGATTATGTGGTGAAAGTATCATTTTAACATCGCAAAAGGACATGCAACAAACATGTACCTCGAATTTTCTATTTCTTCGGTTGCAGGTTATGCAAACGTCGATATTTACGTGTACGGCCTACATTTCTGATCCCATCAGTACAACTTCTAGATGTTTCACTTCCCAACATAAAATGTACAGCAAAATTTCCCAAACTAATATATATTGTACATCTAAAACATTTGCGTGTATTATGTGAACAACATAGTGCGTACTTCCTATATTGAAATTTCCACTCCTTATTTCGTAATACAGAGTCAATGGTCCTGATAGGCAATCAGAATAGAATTTGTTTAAATGATCAGATCTCAGATTCGAAAACGTTTCAAAGAATTGTTACATGTTAACAACATAATATATATTGGAGGAATTAGCAGTACTGAATTTATGATAAAATAATTTTGCACCATATAAGTGTTGATCTGTTTTGAGATATGACTTCAATTTGGCGCAATTTGAATTGTGATGATTTTTCAAAGCTTCTGCATGCTTCTGTATCGAACAATAGTTCACGCAATAACATTCCGTACAAGTTTGGAGATTACGCTGTTCATGACAAACGAAACAGGATTTAGCAAGCGTGATCATTTCGTACGGCTTTATTTCACGATCGAACTCTGTTTTGACTAAACGTAAGAGCTCTTTACTCTACTTGATCCAATCCTCTTGACTGAAATTACGAGTTTGCCTGAATTGCGGGTGACTATGTGAAAGCTTTCTTAAAATTTTACAGATCTCTTCATGATTCACATTATCTCTTGATTTTTGAAGACGCGTATAATAAAGAATCATGTTATATGAAGCACATTTATTTGTACGATTTGTAGAATACGTTTGCGATTTATTCGGACCTCTCTTGCAAAAATGACAAATATTTGGATTGAAGAAGTTGCGATAAGTCACACTTTTTCTACGATCGCCACCCCATGGTGAAAATAGCGCCGGTATCTCATATAGCCGGTATCTCATATAGATATACTGAGTTTGCGATCTTCTTGTTGACGAGAAGACGACATTTTTCTGATGGAAATATGCTGATATCTTAATGTAATTGGTGTTTACAGAAATGCGTCCTATATAATATTATTTTATAAGTAATGTGCCGAACTCGGTACTTCTTAGCGGGAATAACACAATTCTGCTTTCACAGTTTACGGATATGCTTGGCGACTGTTCGGATAACACCAAGAAGATATCTATATATATTGTGTGTATCTATATATTGTGTGTATTATATGTTTATTTATATTTTTGCCATGTCTGAAGTATATCATCAAACGGAATTTTCTTTGAGAATGTAACAAACCTAAATTCTCCTTTATTAAATATTATTGCATCAGCTTGTTTGGAGTTTTCCAATTATAATTAAGCCACTTGGCAAATATTGTGGTGCGCATATTAAACATTAGAAATATAGCCACCAGCATCATGCGTCCTCTGCGGCATGTATCACGCCCATTATGATATCGATTCAATTTACACACATATATACGCGCGCACATGTGTACTTATAAGTGCAAACGGGCATACATTTGCTTTTCATTGGACCGGCCAGTTCTATTGTTTTTTGCCCTATGGAATGCACCAAAGCCAAGCGTATCTGCAAAACGTTTAATTATAATCCATTCCTAGTCATCCAATTCAAACCTTTTTACTGATTATCCAAACGGACGGACGCACTTCTTAGCTGAAAGAAGAATTACGAAGCAATAATTCCGACGCACGTTTCTGCATTTTTCGCCTTCTTGAAATGAGAATGTAACATTTTTGGCGGAAAGAGTAATATCATTTCTGCATGCAATAAATCTATTTTTCTTTGTTGGTGTAAAATACTACAATGAACGTAATATATAATTTTACATAGTACAGCATACGGCAAACGAACTTTTCCATCAAATGCACTTGTCGAATTGCTCTTAGATTTGAGAATCATTATTCAGAAAGGGAAAACAAATATATGTTAACATTATTCCTTGGCAAAAGGGAGAAAGAAACAGAAAGAGGGAGAGAGAGAGAGAGTATGTGTATATGTAACAATGGATTTTTGAAACTACTTCCTAATAGTTAAGTAACATTTCAGTGTTTCTTTGATAATTATAACTTTATCAATGAAAGTCATGTCCTGTTGACTATTTGAAAATATCGACACTGACAATCGCTATATCCCCTGAAATAATAAATATAGGTATATAAGATAATAAATACATTAGAAAGGGTTTTAATATGTACTTTTAAGGAAACTTTTCGGGTATTATTACAATGATAAAATGTAACTTTATCCCAATGCATTCTTTATTTTAAAAAATATATAATTCATTCATGAAAGTAAATTATAATCTCGTCAATTTCTACATCACCTTTTACATTATTATTACAATAATGTTACAAGACAAGTATTTTAGACGTATGCTGTTGAAACATTTCATCAATAAGGTATACTTTTATATTTAACAGTTAAAATTATAATAATGAGCTCTAGAAATTAAATCTTGCGAAAGTTTTACCAATATGAAGAACTTGCAATACCATTAATCAATGTATAAGTTGAATAAATGACTTATACTCTTAAAGATCAGTAGAAACTTATTACGATAGGACACGTCATCGTCTTCGAAATTCCTATGTGCCTTAAGAGAACTAAATGTATTTTCAATTGGTGTTAAATTTAATGGTGTACGGAGAATTTCCCTTAACGCCTGAATGTTCCTTTCGAATTTGGAGTTTGATCCGGCAGTTACAATAAGAGGACAAAATTGGATCTTTAATTTAAAAATTATATCCGCTTGTAAATCCCAATCACTAATATCCGCTTCAAATGCTATAATTACATTTGGTATATTACATGGAAGCATTATGTAAACATAATCGTGAAAGGACATGCGACAACCATATACCTCGAATTTTCTCTTACGTCGTTCGCAATCCGCACAAAGAACGATATTTATGTGTACGGCCTGCATTTCTGATCCTATCAGTACAACTTCTAAGTGATCTATATTCCAATACAAAGTATGCAGTAAAACTTCCCAGGCTAGTATATATTGTGCATCTAAAACATTTGCGTGTATTATGTGAATAACATAGTGCGTACCTCCTATATGGAAATTTCCATTTTTTATCCCGTAATACAGAGTCAACGGTCCTGATAAGTAATCAGAATAGAATTTCTTTAAATGAGGAGCTTTTACATTTGTATATAGATTAATGAGATTTTGCATGTTAACAATATACGGTATAGTGGTGAAATTAATATGTATAAATTTGTAATAAACTAAATCTGCACGATATAAGTATAGATCTGTTTCGAGGCACGACTTCAATTTGGCGCAATTTGAACTCTGATGATTTTTCAAAGATTCTGCATGTTTCGAACAATAGTTCACGCAATAGCACTCCGTACAAGTTTGAAGGTTACGCTGTTCATGACAAACAAAACACGATTTAGCAAACATGATCATCTGCTTTTCGTACGGCTTCATATCACGTTCGAACTCTGTTTTGACTAAACGTAAGAGCTCTTTCCTCGACTTGATCCAATCCTCCTGACTGAAATTACCAGTTTGCCAGAATTGCGGGTGACTCTGTGAAAACTTTCTTAAAATTTCACAGATCTCTTCATGATTCACATTATCTTTCCATTTTTGAAGGCGCGTACAGTAAAAAATCATGTTACACAAGCAACCAGCATCGCGATCTGTCACATATCTTTGCAATACCTTCGAATCTCTCTTGCAAGAATGACAAATATTTGGATTGAAGAAGTTGCGATAAGTCTCAGTTATTGGACGACCGCCACCCCATGGTGAAAATAGCGCCGGCATCTCATGTATACGGAAGTTTCGAGCTTCTCTTCGACGAGGCAATGACATTTCTCTGATGGAGATATGCTAATATTTTAATGCAATGGATATTTACAGAAATGCGTTCTGTGTAATATTAATTTATAAGTAATGTGCCGATCTCGGTACTTCTTAACGGGAATAACACAATTCTGTTGTCACAGTTTACGGATATACTTAGTGACTGTTCGGAGAGCACCAAGGAGGTACCTATATATTATGTGTATTATTATATGTTTATTTATATTTTTCCATGTTTCAAGTACCATCGAACGGAATTTCCTTTGAAAATGTAACGAACCTAAATTCTCCTTTATTAAATATTATTGCATCAGCTTCTCTGGAGCTTTCCATTTATAATTAAGTCACTTGGCAAATATTGTGGTGCGCATATTAAACATTCGAAATATAGCCACCAGCATCATGCGTCCTCTGCGGCATGTATCACGCTTATTATGATTTCGAGTGAATATACACACATGTATACGCGAGCATATGTGTGCTTATAAGTGCAAACGGGCATATATTTGCTTTCATTGGACCGGCCAGTTCTACGGATTGTCTTTTGTCCTATGGAATGCGCCAAATCCAAGCGTATCTGCAAAACGTTTAATTATAATCCATTCCTATTCATTCAATTCAAACCTTTTTACTGATTAACCAAACGGGCGGACGCACTTCTTAGCTGAAAGAAGAATTAACAAGCAATAATTCCGACGCAATGATATTTTCTGCATTTTTCGCCTTTTTGAAATGAGAATGTAATAATTTTAGCGGAAAGAGTAATATCATTTTTGCGTGCAATAAATCTATTTTTCGTTGTTGATGTAAAATACTACGTACAATGAATGTAATATATAATTTAACATAGTACAGCATACGGCAAACGAACTTTTCCATCAAATGCACTTGTCGAATTGCTCTAAGATTTGAGAATCAATTTTCAGAAAGGGGAAACGAATATATGTTAACATTATTCCTTGGTAAAAGGGAGAAAGGGATAGAAAGAGAGAGAGAGAGAGAGAGGGTGTGTATATATGTAACAATGGATTTTTGAAACTACTTCCTAACGATTAAGTAACATTTCAGTGTTTCTCTGATAATTATATCTTTATCAATGGAAGTCATGTCCTGTTGGCTATTTGGAAATATCGACACTGACAATCGCAATATCCCCTGAGATAATAAACATAGGTATATAAGATAATAAATACATTAGAAAGGGTTTTAATATAATAAACTTTTAAGGAAACTTTTCGAGTATTATTACAATGAAAAAATGTAACTTTATCTCAATGCGTTCTTTATTTTAAAAAATATATAATTCATTCATGTAAATTCAAGTAAATTATAATCTCGTCAATTTCTACATCATCTTTTACATTATTATTACAATAATGTTACAAGACAGATATTTTAGACGTGTTCCGAAGTTTTAAGTGGTATGAAAACGCAAATTTTCAAATTGTTTCTTATGTGAAACTTGTCTAATTAAGCAATAAACTTTCTTTACTTTTTGGTTGGTGCGATTCGGAGCCATAGTAAGAGTACTGCTGTTCAAACATTTCAACAATAAGGTATACTTTTATATTTAACAATTAAAATTTTTATTTAATTTTTATAAATTTTATATTTAACAATTAAATTATAACAATGATCTTTAGAAATTCAATCTTACAAATGTTTTACTAATATGAAGACACTGCACTATCTTTAATCAATGTGTAAGTTAAATAAATGACTTATACTCCTAAAGATAAGTAGAAACTTATTACGATAAGACACGTCATCGTCCTCGAAATTTCTATACGCCTTAAGAGAACAAAATGTATTTTCGATTGGTGTTAAATTTAATCGTGTATGCAGAATTTTATTTAAGGACTGAATATTCTTTTTGAATTTGGAGTTTGATCCGACAGTTACAATAAAAGGGCAAAATTGGGTCTTTAATTTAAAAATTGTATCCGCTTGTAAATCCCAATCACTAATATCCGCTTCAAATGCTATAACTATATTTGGTGGATTACGTGGAAGCATTCTGTTAACATAATCGTGAAAGGAGATACGGTGACTTTGAAACAGTAATTTTTGTGCATACCTTGCGCATTTCCAACAAAGTTCAACATTTACGTAAATGGACTGCATTTCTGATCCTATTAATACAACTTCCAGATGATTTATTACCCCACGTAAAACATGCAGCAAAATTTCCCAAGCTAGTATATATTGCGCATCTAAAACATTTGCGTGTATTATGTGAACAACATAGTGCTTACTTCCTATATAGAAATTTCCTTTCATTATTCCGTAATACAGAGTCAATGGCCCTGATAGGTAATCAGAATAGGATTTGTGTAAATAATCACATTTTGAATCCGTAAATTTCTCAATGAATTGTTGTATGTTAATAACTTTATGTATACTGGTGAAATTAGCCCGATTAAATTTACCATGAGGCAATATTGAACGACGTATGTAATTATCCATTTCGAGACACGAGTTCAATTTAGCGCAATTTGAACTGTGATGATTTTTCAAAACTTCTGCATGACTCGAACAGTAGTTCACACAATAACACTGCGTACAAGTTTGGAGATCATGCTGTTTATGACAAACAAAACACGATTTAGCAAACGTGATCATCTGCATTTCGTACGGCTTCATATCACGTTCCAACTCTGTTTTGACTAAACGTAAGAGCTCCTTCCTTGATTTGATCCAATTCTTTTGACTGGAATTACGAGTTTTCCAGAATTGCGGATGACTGTGTGAAAGCTTTTCTAAAATTTCGCAGATCTCTTTATGATTCGCTTGATGTTCTGATTTGTGATAATTGCAACAGTAAAGAATCATGTTGCATGAACAATGTGTATTGCAATCCTCGGAATAGAATGGTGAGTTTTTCGGTTTTCTCTTGCACCAATGACAAATATTTGGATTGAAGAAGTTGCGATAAGTCTCAGTTTTTAAATTAACTTTACTCCATGGTGAATATAGCGGCGGTATCTCATGTATACTGAGTTTTCGATCTTCTTGTTGAGGAGACGACGACATTTCTCTGATGGAGATATGCTAATATTTTAATGCAATGGATATTTACAGAAATGCGTTCCATGTAATATTAATTTATAAACAATGTGCCGAACTCGGTACTTCTTAACGGGAATAACACAATTCTGCTTTCACAGTTTACGGATATACTTAGCAACTGTCCGGAGAGCACCAAGGAGAAGATCTATATATTATGTGTATTATTATGTGTTTATTTATATTTTTTCCATGTTTCAAGTATCATCGAACGGAATTTTCTTTGAAAATGTAACGAACCTAAATTCTCCTTCGTTAAATATTATTGCATCAGCTTCTCTGGAGTTTTCCATTTATAATTAAGTCATTTGGCAAATATTGTGGTGCGCATATTAAACATTAGCAACATAGCCACCAGCATCATGCGTCCTCTGCGGCATGTATCACGCTCATTATGATTTCGAGTCAATATACACACACATATATACGCGCGCACATGCGTGCTTATAAGTGCAAACGGGCATACAGTTGCTTTTCATTGGACCAGCCAGGTCTATTGTATTTTGCCCTATGGAATGCACCAAAGCCAAGCGTATCTGCAAAACGTTTAATTATAATCCATTGCTATTCATCCAATTCAAAACTTTTTACTTATTATCCAAACAGACGGACGTACTTCTTAGCTGAATTAACAACAATTATTAACAAGCAATAATTCCGACGCAATGACATTTTCTGCATTTGTCGTCTTTTTGAAATGAGAAAGAAATAATTTTGGCGGGAAGAGTAATATCATTCTTGCGTGCAATAAATCTATTTTTCGTTGTTGGTGTAAAATATTACATACAATGAATGTAATATATAATTTTACATAGTACAGCATAACGCAAACTAACGTCTCCATCAAATGTACTTGTCGAATTGCTTTAAAATTTGAGAATCATTGTTCAGAAAGGCAAACGAATATATGTTAACATTATTCCTTGGCAAAAGGGAGAATGAAATAGAAAGAGGAAGAGAGGGAGAGTATGTGTATATGTAACAATGGATTTTTGAACTACATTTTAACGGTTAAGTAACATTTCAGTGTTTCTCAGATTATTATATCTTTATCAGTGGAAGTCATGTCTTGTTGACTATTTGAAAATATCGACACTGACAATCGCAATATCCCCTGAGATAATAAACATAGGTATATAAGATAATAAATACATTAGAAAGGGTTTTAATATAATAAACTTTTAAGGAGACTTTTCGGGTATTATTACAATGAAAAAATGTGACTTTATCTCAATGCGTTCTTTATTTTAAAAAATATATAATTCATTCATGAAACTAAATTATAATCTCGTCAATTTCTACCTCATACCTTTCACATTATTATTACAATATTGTTACAAGACTTATATTTTATACATATAGGGAAGTTTTAAGTGATATGAAAAAGCAAATTTATTAAATTATTTCTTATGTGGAATTTGTCTAATTAAGTACAGCAATGAACTTTCTAGACTTGTTGGTTGGTGCGATTCGGAACCATAGTAAAAGTTCTGCTGTTGAAACATTTCATCAATAAGGTATACTTTTATATTTAACAGTTAAAATTATAATAATAAGCTCTAGAAATTAAATCTTGCAAAAGTTTTACCAATACGAAGGACTTGCTGTACCATTAATCAATGTATAAGTTGAATAAATGACTTATACTCTTAAAGATAAGTAGAAACTTATTACGATAAGACACGTCATCGTCCTCGAAATTTCTATATGCCTTAAGAGAACAAAATGAGTTTTCGATTGGTGTTAAATTTAATGGTGTACGCAGAATTTTCCTTAACGCCTGAATGTTCCTTTCGAACTTGAAATTTGATCCGGCAGTTATAATAAAAGGACAAAATTGGATCTTTAATTTAAAAATTATATCCGCTTGTAAATCCCAATCACTAATATCCGCTTCAAATGCTATAACTATATTTGGTGGATTACGTGGAAGCATTATGTAAACATAATCGCGAAAGGACATGCGAAAACTATATACCTCGAATTTTCTTTTTTTTCGGTAAGTGCAGTCCCTACATAGATCGATATTTACGTGTACAGGCTGCATTTCTGATCCTATGAGTACAACTTCTAAGTGATTTACATCCCAACATAAAGTATGCAGTAAAACTTCCCAGGCTAGTATATATTGTGCATCCAAAACATTTGCGTGTATTATGTGAACAACATAGTGCGTATCACCTATATGGAAATTTCCATTTTTTATTCCATAATATAGAGTCAACGGGCCTGATAGGTAATCAGAATAGAATTTCTTTACATGATCAATTTTCGAATTCACAAATTTTTCAAAAAATTGTTGCATGTTAACAACATCATGTATACTGGAGGTGTTAGCATTACCAAAATTAAAATAATGTGCTTTTGTATTGTATATATAGTGGTCTGTTTCGCGACACGACTTCAATTTAGCGCAATTTGAACTGTGATAATGTTTCAAAGCTTCTGCATGAGTCGAACAATAGTTCACGCAATAACACTCCGTACAAGTTCGGAGATTATGTTGTTCATGGCAAACAAAACACGATTTAGCAAACATGATCATCTGCATTTCGTACGGCTTCATATCACGTTTGAACTCTGTTTTAACTAAATGTAAGAGCTCCTTCCTCGACTTGATCCAATCCTCTTGAGTGAAATTACGAGTTTGCCAGAATTTCGGGTGACTATGTGAAAGTTTTCTTAATATTTTACAGATTTTTTCATGATTCACATTATCTATTAGTCCGTGATCGGTGTGACAGTAAAGAACCATATTACACGAATAACATATACTGAAATCCATAGAACATATTTGCGATTTTATCGGACATTTCTTGCAAAAGTGACAAATATTTGGATTGAAGAAGTTGCGATAAGCCACAGTTTTTAGATCGACACTCCATGGTGAAAATAGCGCCGGTATATCATATCTACTGAGTTTGCGATCTTCTTGTTGACGATACGACATTTTTTTGATGGAAGTATGATAATATTTTAATGTAACGGATATTTACAGAAATGCGTCCCATGTAATATTAATTTATAAGTAATATGCCGAACTCGGTACTTCTTAGCGGGAATTACACAATTCTGCTTTCACAATTTAGGGATACACTTAGCGACTGTCCGGAGAGCAGCAAGGAGATATATACATATTATGTGTATTATTATATGTTTATTTACATTTTCTCCATGTTTCAAGTATCATCGAACGGAACTTGTCTTTGAACAGTCTTTGAAAATGCGACGCGAATAGATTTTCCCGTTTATTAAATATTATTACATCAATTTCCATTTATAATTTAATTATCACTTATTATAATTACTCATAAGAGTAATAAAATTACTTATTATCATTCGCCCATTTATTACATCTAGTAATAAATTTCAGCAAGGGAGGGCTATAAATATTCACTATGTTAACATAAATAATAACGATATATCGTAAGAATGTCACCTACCTGTAAAGTTTCAGACCAAATGGCATGATGTACCTTTCGGAAGTACAAACTAAAATTCGAGTTCTGCATCTATTTGATGAATTAATCGATACTTTACAGGTACGTAACAGATTGAAATGCATATTCTTAAGCGGATTATTCATATAATGTGTCTGCCAGAAAATTATAAAAGCAAATTAATGCATTCATTATTTTACAAAATGTAAAAGCTATTCACGGAAATAAATATATATACACATATATATAACCCAACCAATTTGTACACTATTTCTTGCATTATTGTTACAATAATTTTATTATACTTATATTCTAGTTATATACAATGATGTGCAAAGGCAAATTAATCAATTTCACGTTTCATTTAACATTTTATTAAAGTTGTTCAGTAAAGGTGGGTTAGAATTATTTACATTATTAACACCTTTTTTCCGAAAATCACAACCGGCGTACAATTTTTCAAAACTATTATTTACGATGTATAACTTTAAATCTATTATGTTAATAACATGTTTTTTCAAAAATTCTGACTCGCAAAATTTCTACCAAGGACGCCATAGTTTATTATTATTACCCGATTCATTATACAAGTTAAATAAATGATTAATACACCTAAAGATAATTAAAAACTTATTACGATAAGACACGTCATCGTCCTCGAAATTCCTATATGCCTTAAGAGAACTAAATTTATTTTCGATTGGTGTTAAATCTAATGGTGTACGCAGAATTTTATTTAACGCCTGAATGTTTTTTTCGAATGTGAAGTACGAACCGGAGGTTACAAGGAATGGACATGATTGTTCCTTTAATTTCAAAATTATTTTCGTTTGTAAATCCCAATCACTAATATCTGCCTCAAATGCTATAATTACATTCGGTGGGTTATATGGTGAAAGTACTATGTTGACATAATCGCAAAAGGACATGCGATGACCATGTATCTCGAATTTTCTATTTTTTCGGTTGCAGGTCGAGCAAACATCGATATTTACGTGTATGGCCTGTATTTCTGATCCTATCAGTACAACTTCTAGATGTTTTACTTTCCAACATAAAATATGCAGCAAAATTTCCCAGGCTAGTATATATTGTGCATCTAAAGCATTTGCGTGTATTATGTGAACAACGTAGTGCGTACCTCTTATATGGAAATTTCCATTCTTTATTCCATAATATAGAGTCAACGGGCCTGATAGATAATCAAAATAGAATTTCTTAAAATGATCAAATTTCGAATGCATAAATTTTTCAATGAATTGTTGCATGCTAACAATGTTACACATATTGGTGGGATTAACCGTACTGAATTTATGATAAAATAATTTTGTATGATATAAGTGTAGGTCTGTTTCAAGACATGACTTCAATTTGGCGCAATTTGAACTGTGATGATTTTTCAAAGCTTCCGCATGATTCGAACAATAGTTCACGCAATAACACTCCGTACAAGTTTGGAGATTATGCTGTTCATGACAAACAAAACACGATTTAGCAAACATGATCATCTGCATTTCGTACGGCTTCATGTCACGTTCGAACTCTGTTTTGACTAAATGTAAGAGCTCCTTCCTCGACTTGATCCAATCCTCTTGAGTGAAATTACGAGTTTGCCAGAATTGTGGATGACTGTGTGAAAGCTTTTCTAAAATTCCGCAGATCTCTTTA